GAGAGGAGAAGAGAAGAGAAGAGAAGAGAAGAGAAGAGAAGAGAAGAGAAGAGAAGAGAAGAGAAGAGAAGAGAAGAGAAGAGAACTCTCTATCACAAATCACCAATCAGGAACAAACTGTGAAGGAAGAAGGGGGTAGACCCCAGCGTGGTCAGTTTAAAGTGCTTAAGGAGGACCAAAAAAAAAAAAGTGCATGAGGTCAGTTAATGGGAAATGGTGATAAGATCTTAACTGAGCTTAGCCAAGAGTTGGCTAACTTATGGGGTGTTTGTAATAACCCCTACAAGCATGAATGTCCTCTCGCAGACATACATACCACTTAGCACATTCTGTTCTCACCCACGGGCTGGTTAGTTACCAGTTTGCTCTCTCAGCTCCTTCTAAAAGGAAATTTCTGCTGTCACCGGACTCTTCTAGAAGATCCCTTCTGGGTCTGCTGCTGTCTTCACTGTTATAGTCTTAGACCTGTTCTTGTAGTTGATTATTGATCTCTCTTCCTGTCTCAAAAGATAACTGTGGTTTTGGCTGTTCAGACAGGGAACTACCATGGCATGTCAGTTTCAAGACACAGCACACCCAGAAGGGCCAAGAATTGACCAATCACCTCCTGCAAGTCACTCAATGTGCATAGAGAGGCCGCCAATCCCATTAAGAGTAGATCTGAAGCCTGTCCTATCCTGTGCCATCCTCATGACCTCTGACATGTGAGCCCCTTCCTGAAGTCACTGTGTCATGCCATCTGTGGAGAGAAAGAGACCAATCACCAAGCCGACTAAAGCTCAGAAAGAGGTAAACAAGTATCAAACCGGCAAGTCTGTTTACAGTTTACCCAGAAAATGTCAAGCAACTTGGAAGAAGGTAACAACTCAAAAAAACCCTTGCTTTCTGTCCCAGTTTGCATCTCCACAGAACTAGGCTAAAGGTAACTCTGGGAGATTTAGCCTAAAATAATCTCCCAGGATGTTTTTGTCAAAGAATTGTCAAAGAACCAAAATGTAAGCCCACATACACTCAGGTGATTCAATGATTAAATACGTCATGTGCTGTGAGTTCTGGGGTCAAGTGTAGGGCTTTTTGAAGCCAAGATTCAAGCCCTCATCTAATTGGAGATCTTGTATGTGTCCCCCTACAGAGGCCCTCTCCAAGCCCACGGTGTCCTTGGTGTCCGAAGACCTGAACTTGACTTTGGGCAGTGACTTGGTCCTGCGCTGCCAGGGTCCAGTAGCTGGAGCCACGTTCGTGCTTCTCAAGGAGACTGCAAAGCGCCCCCTGAAGGTGATGAGCTCAGCAGGACACGGCGTGGACTTCAGGATCCCAGACATTGGGGTGCACGTTTCTGGGAACTACAGCTGTCTCTACCTGGAAACTAGAAATGGACCCTCAGGATCTGGATTGAGTGAACCCCTGGAACTCCGTGTAGAGGGTAAGATCCCTAGAAGGGGACACAGCAGAGGCTGGACTGGTCTTAGGACAGCAGCAGAAGCAAGTGTGGGATTTATCATAGTCAAATCACATGGGATGGAGGAAGTGACAGGTGGACTTGGACACAGCTCCTGGTCAACCTGTCACCTCTTGTACCTGCCTCATCTCCACCAGGGCCCAGCTGTGGTCCTGTATAAGGGGTTTCCTGTCCCCAACAGAGAGAGCTGGATTTCCAAGCTCAATGAACCCACTCCTATGCTCATTCATCAATCTGTACCCCAAAAAAGGGAGCAATGGAGAATCTATTCACACCTCAACTCCTTGTAGCTCTCTGATGTCCAGCATAGGCTCTAAATTCATGTCCTTGAGAAAAAAAATCACTGTGAGTGTCTATCCTTTGCATCATCTAAGGAACCAGAAACTCTAGACCTCTGCCCTTAAAAAGAGAATCAATGTTTCCTTTAACTAAAACTAGATCTGCCTCTTATATTGACTTTTTGCTAGATCCGTCTATTATTCTTTTGTTATTCTTTTGGTTTTTATTATTTCTTATTAAAAAAATATGATAGGGCCCCGCACAGACATCTCTTCTGAGGGTCACATTGAGCTGCTGCTGCTTTGAGGGAAGTCTTTAGAAATCACCACCATGGCGGAAGACATTAAGACCAAAATCAAGAACTACCGAACTGCCCCTTTTGATAGCCGCTTTCCCAACCAGAACCAAACCAAGAACTGCTGGCAAAACTACCTGGATTTCCACCGCTGCGAGAAGGCAATGACTGCCAAAGGTGGCGATGTCTCCTTGTGTGAATGGTATCGGCGCGTATACAAGTCCCTCTGCCCCCTGTCCTGGGTGTCAGCCTGGGATGACCGCAGGGCAGAAGGCACATTCCCTGGGAAGATCTGAACTGGCCCACCTTACCCCTCTGCCGGAATCTTAAATTGTGACTTAACTAATAATAAAGACTTACTGGAAAAATGTAAAAAAAAAAAATATGATAAATCGTTGACCCAGAACTCAGCACTGTCCGATAGGACTTTCTGGAGAGATAGAGATGTCCTCTGTTGGTATGGGCTGAGATAAAAGCTACTGGATGCAGGTAGCCATGAAGAATTTGCCACATGATTCCTGTGAGTGAGAAATGGGGCTGAGCGGTTGAGTGAGTGAGTGAGTGAGTGAGTTAGTTAGTTAGTTAGTTAGTTAGTTAGTTAGTTCCCCCCCTCCCAAATTTGATAGTAATTGAGTTAAAATGCTACAGACTAAATTGGTTTTCTGTTCAACAATTTATATACCTTTCAGCTCTGGGCAGTGATTATAACCCGTTCCATCTAACAGCACTCTTCCTACTTCGTCTTTGTATTTCCTGTTTCCACTACTCTTTCTTTTCTGCCCCTTCTGCCTTCTGAGTTACCTTTTCGGGGAAATGCTGTTCTGTTATGTTCGCTAGTTCCAAAGAATGTGGATCACCGTGATGGTACTGATCTTCTTATAATTCTGTCCATTCAACTGAGCCATTGATTTCAGGTCCAAGCTTGTACAGTAATTAAGAACCACAGACTCCAGGGGAAATGGTTTTTTCCCCCAATGATGTTTAATTTAAATAACGTGAACCTCCCTGGTGTTTATGATTGCCTTTTAGGTCTGTATATTATTTGGTGATTGGTTTTGTTGTTGGCTTGTTGGTTTGGTTTGGTTTGGTTTTTTCCTCTTGTTTGACTGGAAGCTGAGAATCAAGGAAGAGATTTGCTCCAACTTTTGCAAGATGATCAAAGAACATAGTTTTAGGGAGAGAAACTAACTTCCTGATGAGTTTGAAGGTAAATGAATGTGGACCTCCAGGGGGCCAACTCTGTGTGTACATCACACTCACAACACTCCTATCCAGTCCAGACAGAAAGACGTCAGAGCTGGAACCATGTTGGGTGTGAGTGGACATTGAGTGTGAGCACAGATGAGATCTTTTCTGCCCCTTGAAAGTCCGTCATGGAAATCCCTAGCTCTAAGAGAGATGCAAATCAAAACAGCTATGAGATATCATCTCACCCCAGTCAGAGTAGCAAAATTTGACAAAATAGCAAGCAACAAATGCTGGCGAGGTTGTGGAGAAACTGCAACCCTTATTCACTGTTGGTGGGAGTGTAAAATGTTGCAACCACTGTGGAAGGCGGTACGGCACTTTCTCAAAAAGTTGCAAATAGAGATACCATTTGACTCAGCAATTCCACTACTGGGAATACACCCCAAAGAGACCGTAACTGGCACCCAAGTCACACTCATGTTTATCGTGGCTTTTTTCACAATAGCAAGGAGTTGGAAACAACCTAAGTGCCCATAAACAAACGAGTGGATAGAGAAGCTCTGGTATATTTACACAATGGAATACTATGCTGCATTGAAAAACAAGGAACTCATGCAATATTATTCAAAATGGGTGACCCTGGAGGACATTATGCTGAGTGAAATATCTCAGTCACAGAAGGACAAATACTGCATAGTGCCCCTGTTGTAAAATAGAACTGTCTTCGGGGATGGGGGAAGACTGAGAAAGATAGGTTAAATTATATACTGCATTGAAACAGACGAGGGAGAGAACTATTTAAAAGGGATATGTGGTTAGGTATTATTGTCATGACAGGAGTCCAGAACGAAGGCTGCACAGTGGAGTGGACTTGGGGAGAGGGATTGTATAACAATGAAAGAATTTTTCTTTTACTTTTCAAAGAGAAGAGCAAATTGTGGGGGGGAGGGCAGGGAGAAAAGTGCAGCAATGAATGAATGGAAATTCAAAATCTCTGTAAATGTTCATTAAAATGAATCATAAAGTTAAGAAAGAAAAAAAGAAAGAAAGTCCACGATGAACTTTCTAAGACCTCAAACTCCGTATGTGTTGGCCCTCTCTCTTCCAGGTTTGATGCCCAAGCCCTTGCTCTGGTCAGGGTGGACAAACCTTGTGGCTCCTGGACTTGATGCAACGCTGTACTGCATGAGCTCGTTCCCAGACATGGATTTTGATCTCTTGCGAGCAGGGCAGGTGTTACACTCTTCCAGGAGTCCTTCGGGCAGCAGGATAGCGGAGTTTATCCTGTTCAACGTAGAGCACCAGGATGCGGGGAACTATAGCTGTCGCTACTACCTTCCCGACGGACAGTCCTCGATCAGGTCTGAGGAGAGTGACCCCTTGGAACTCCAGGTGGAGAAAGACTCATTCTGAGCTGCCACCTGCATGCTGTCTCTCGCGCCTTTCCCCCCCCCCGTATCTCAGGTACCCCACTTTGCTTTTCCTGCACAGTCATGTAGAACTGCTTGTTCCTTCCTCATGTGTCTGTTTTCGGTCTCCTGAGCCGCATTTCTACTCTGGATCCTGAAGACACACACAGCTCCGAGGATGTTGGGTTTTGATTGAACTTCTAGGGCACCAAGAATATCATCCCAAAAAGCCAAACCTACTCCATCAAGCGGGTTCCAACCGTGGAGACTGTCACGGGTTGTATTGAGTATCCCCCAAAATACCTGTATATATGCTATAATGTGGAAGGATGTACCTCTATCCCCATGACCTGATAAACTGAATATATTTAAAAGGATTAAGGGGGAAATGGTACACTCTTTAGCCTCATCCCAGTAAGGGAAGTTTTCCTTAGCGTGTGTAAAGTAAAAACAGAGGAAAGTGAGTTGAGATGGAGAGGACCTCAGTGCTACCAAGAATGCTGTTCCTTTTGGGGGTTGGACCCCTATAATACTGGGCTATTGGATATGAGATTTGGGATATCAGATCCCCTTGAAAGCCAGATGCATGAAGATTTCCAAAGAATGTTTGGGTTACACACGTTTAAAGAAACAAGGTCATTCCTCCGCAATAGGAGAGAGAGAG